AATTCTAGCTTAGGTATGCTTGTTTCATTATAGAGATAAGTGAAATCATTGTTTTATTATAAGTCATTATAGTAAGTAAAACAAATATATACTTTGATATTAAAGTTCAATTTTTTTCTTTTGTATGAAGAAAGTGAAAGTCATGTTTTGTAATATTTCTTTTACAATTAATTTCTAATAAAGTAAAATTATTTATATTGTTCAAAGCTAATTTAAGGATCTGATCTTGATATACCATTTTTGATCTTCTTATTTAATAAAATAGAAAAAGACTAAGAATGTAGATGATGTTCAGTTTATGCTACCAAAGCATTTGTAAGAATTATCTAAAAGAGAAACTGACCATTGTCTATCTAAGATGGTCACTATAAAAAAAGTTGTAGAAATTTTCCATTAACCCTTTTGCACACAATATGTTTAAAATCACCCCTGTAAATATTGAGTCTCAAAGTTTCACTGTTTACATAACTTCCTGTTTTATTTATGATATTATGGGGCATGTTAGAGTGGGTTGAACATTGAGAGTCAATATTTATGGGGTGGGCTTAGGCAGGTTGAATGCTACATAGTTAAATCAACATGCATTACTATTTGCTCAAAAATTGCATTCTTTCTCATCTTAAAGAAAAGTGAAAATGAAATGTATTATTTAAAATATAGGTTTGGTTTCATCCCATGATCTTATTCTAAACATTTCACTCCATGTAAGGTGATAATGCCACTAAGATGCAATAGTTTACTGAGAGTGAAAGGGAATAATACTTTAGTGATGAGTAAGGACCATAAAAAGCAGGGATTCAGGAAGACAGATGGTAATTTTAGTTGCATTTTTTAAACTAAAATACTTCTATGAAAGGTTTCCTAAGCCAAAGTGGCATAATCTATTTAGAACATTTTTTGAACTTTCTTAGACCCCCCCCACCTTGTGAGAATATTACTTTTACTGATAGAATTGCAGTAATTCCAAAAAAAAAAAGCTCTTATTTTGAAAGGGCACATAGGTTTGCAAGAAGTATTGTGCTTATAAAGAACTATGATAGAAAAGAGCAGGAAGCTAAGCAATTGAGCCCTTCACAGCTGAAAATTAACATATACCTTCAAGACAGGCAGATTATTTGGGTGGGGTGGGTGGCTGCAGTTTAGTCCCTCCCTTTTGTCAGTTCACATGACTGTTACTTCCAGCCAATACCTCATAAATAATGGGCTATTCTGTTTTGATCGCATGGAAAGATAAGACAAATCAGAGACCCTGCTTGGTTTCAGTGAAAAGAAAGATAGAACTGTTTAAATGTCTTCTGCTAATACCTCATAAATAATAGACTATTCTGTTTTTATCACGTGAGAAAATAAGACATCAAAGACACTACTTGGTTTCAGTGAGAAAATGAAAGAAAGAGAAGTGTTTAATGTCTGTTTCAATGAAATGGAAAAGCTTGTCAATTTCAAATCTTTTCATTTGTACCTCCTTTTTTCTTAAAATAATGACCAGCATTCATATTTATGATTGTTATTGCAAAATTTTGTTAAAGTTGTTATGCTAAAATATTTAACAATGCAATAGGTAATTTCTATTGCAATAGGTATTTTCTTGTAGAACTCGCCATGAGTTTATTTAATCAGAAATTTAAAATAAAAAAACCATAAGATTTTCACTGGTTAAAACTAATATAAATAAATGGCAATTGTCTTATTGCTATTTTGGATATTAGGGGAGGACCTTATATTAATGCAAATCTTTTGTAAAAGCAAGGTAGTGTAAATTACTCAATTTATGTTATTGTTCTTTGTTATAAGCAAACTTTCTGTTAACAATGCAGAATCTTTTCTTTTTGAGTTAACCTTACACTTTCTAAGATTGAGCATTATGCAAATGAATCTAAAGATATTTAACAAGTTAGTAAATTTTGAGAATTGTCTCACCTATGTGCAAATAATACCTTGGTTTAAGGTGAAGGTGTAACTATTAAATTGGACCTTTACATTTTTGTCCCCTAAAAAGAAAAAAATCAGAATAGCTTGGAAACAATACAAGAGGAAAGCTGACTTGCCTTGGCAGCTTTTGTTGGCAGAATCTGTTTTTTTTGTTTTTTTTTATTTGCTATTTATGTTTTTTATGAAGCTTTTTCAACATTTTCTTAGGCCTGAGAACTAAATTTAACTCATTTTGATAAAAGTGTGTATAAGGAAAAATAAATTAATAAAATTTCTGCACCAAGTATACATTAACTTATTTTGTCAAATTCAATTTGTGCCTGTGTAATTTTTTCTTGTTTTTATATACAAGTGTGCATATAATGTATTGCATGTTTTGAAATTTGGTTCATTTTTTTTATACACACATTTTTATTTGAAAGAAAAATATACAACTTCAAGAAGACAAATTATATTTACCATCGCCAAATTTAAAGAAGAAAAATATACAAAAAATCAACTTTTCATGATCTTGGGGTGAGTGATGGCTCCTACCAGTTTTCTAGCTTTCACATAATAATATTTTCAGGTTTGGATTGGCCACCCAAATATTTTGGATTTGCTGATGCCTGTAAGACCGTTTTCCATATTCCTCCTCATATTCTTTCTCCCTCTGTCTTTTATTAGATCTCTCTCTCTCTCTCTCTTATCTCTTTCTCTTTTTCTCTTTAGCCTTGTCTTGTCTGTATGCTGTTTTGAATGAAATAGAATTTTTTAGTGTCACTGTTAACCAACTGGACACCTTCCATTTTGTTATTCCTTAAAAACTGATCATGCCAAATTGTTGTACATTTTTTGATAATGACATTGTATGTATTTTATTTTTCTCTTTTCTATAAATCATATTTCTGTTTTCTTTAGTTATTTTTTTTTCTTTCATTGATATTATTTTTTCTTATTTTTTAAATTTTTTTTCATTCTTTTACCGTTTTATATTTTATTTATTTATTTATTTTTTTTTTTATTTATTACAAATTAGGCCCAGAGGATGGTTGGGGGTTTATGAATCACTGATTGCATTCAGCTCTGCCAAATGTTTCTCGTGGGTCAACATTTACTAGTTTAGATAAAGAAAGATAATGTGAATGCATGTGTTCTGTGAATCAAAGGAAATTTTAAATTTATTTTAATTTATATTCATTTTTACACTTAATTTATTCTAGTTCTACTAATTTTTACTAATCCAAAACATTTGCAATATTATGTAGAAAATAGTCACTTTGAATTAAAGATCAACTTTTTAAACATTAATTTAGTGTTCTGCTTTTCATTTTATTAAAACTTGCTTAATTTTATCAGATCAATCTTTGGTAAGTGACCATGTAATAATATTTATAAAGCAGTGGTTTTAAAATTTATTATTTTAAATTTCTTTGAAAATTAAAAAATTTTAGCTAGTGTTCAGTTAACCTGAAAAGTAATAATTAACTATAAGTAATATATATTTGTTATTGTTGGGGAAAAGAGATTAGGAGGGTCAAAAATCCAGAGAAGAGAATGGGAATAGAAAACAATATGTAGCTCTGCTGAAGCACATACTATGCAGCTTAGGAAACTATCATTCACTTTGACTCGATGATCCTGACTACGGTCGATATATATATATATATATATATATATATATATATATATATTTTTTTTTTTTCTCTTACTGACATTTTTTTATTCATGAGATTTTGGTATAAAGTGACTGCCATGTTTGTAATTCTTTAAATGAATTCAAACCTGATTGTTTCTTGAAAAATTTCTCAGGGTTTTATTGAAATTTCTTTAGCCTTATCCCTTATTAATCCTTTAGCAAATTTCAGTTAATTTGCCTCTGCTTTGCTACTCTGGTTGTGATGTATATCTTTCCACTGAAGCTGAATTTTATTGAATTTTGAAAGATCTAATCCTAACAGCTGAAATTTAAAAAGTAACACATCAGGATCTTTCAGATTTAGCAAAAGTTTTGCACCGTTATGACATGCACTTGTAAAAGTCAAGATGGTTGAAATCTTGCAGCTGATCTCCTACCTGATCTAGCTCTAACAGCACAATAGAGAAATAACTGGCTTGTTACTTTCAAAAACCAAAATGGTATCATTTCATCATCACTGTTCAGACCCTGAATGGTAGAACTTGTATATAAGATCCATTTCTAAAGAACCTGAAAAAAAACAGTTATCCTGCTTCTGACTCCTCCTATCATATTATACCTTTACAAGAGTTGGATTAAGCCCAAAATGGAGCATTGCTGTCATATCTGGGATGGAGCTGCTCAATCCTCTACTTACTAGCTTTGATAGTTTACGTTGTCTTGTGATTGATTACATACTTCTCTCTCTACAGTCTCTTTCCCATGTGCATAACCTTACAAACCTATCAATACTCTGTTTTTATTTCCATGGTAAATGTTTAGATGATCTCCATTCTCTAGTTCTATGAGTTCAGACCGTTACAGCTAGGACACGTCATGCTATTTCCACAGAGTGAAATCACCCTCATTTCCTCCATGTTCCAAATGTAAGGAGAAAGTTCTATTCCCTTTTTCTTTTTTTTTTTTTTTTTTTTTTTTTTCTCTCTCTCTCTCTCAAGAAAATTTGTGTAGCACTCTTGCACAGGTACTTTGAACACTTAATCTTGACCTCTTCAAATTAAGGGTCAGTCATTTATCCTCATAATCTCCCTTTCCTGCCACCTTCTCTTCCATTCATATTTTACAACTCCTTCATTATTACCATTTCAACTGTAACCCTCTATCTTGTGAATGACTTTTGAACTTTGGATTGGGTAAAATTTAGTTAAAAAAAAAAAAAAAAATGCAGTATGTCATTTCAAAGGAATGATAGGATTCAGATTATAAAGTTTTTTCCTTTCTTTTTCTTTCTCTTTTTTTTTTTTTTTTTTAATTGAAATATGCCATACAAAATCTTTTAACTTAATTTTGTTTGCACTAATTTAGGCATAATATATAAACAAAACAGTATTCTAGAATCTATATCGATAGATTTGTATTCATGAGTTGAATTCTGTTACAAATGTAACACTAGAACAAGCTTAGACTGATGCCTGTTCTATGCTTAACTGAAATCCTGCTACTAATTTAGTGGTATTGGATATTAATCCATTTTATTGATCAACGTCTAGATTCCCATGATATCCAATATTGATTAATAACTGTTAATGATGAATATATTGGTTGAACATTGCATTTTGTCTGAATTATTAATTCCAGTAAAACAAAAGATTTTATAACAGTAACAAACCAGAATGGGGTAAACTTCCTTAGCCGTGTTTGGCCTTGTTTTAGTTTTCTATTCCAACAATTTGATTTACAACTTTAAATAAGAAATATCAGCCCTTTTAGTCTTTTTTTCTTTCTTTCTTTCTTTCTTTTTTTTTTACTGAATGGAATAGACTGATTTTGCTAATCTTGTTAGCCTAAAGGTAAATTATGGCAAAAATAAATATTAGGAAAATCTATGGCAAAATGGAAAAAAAATTTGTATGACTTGTTTTGTCCTTTAGGACTTCATTAGACTAAAGTGATGTTTAAGTTGATCTGATTAAATGAATTAAGACGTTTTTTTTTTGTGTTTGATACTTGATAGAAAAACCATAAGTTTTTCTATCAAGTTTTTGCAGGCACAAAAGTTAAACATTTGACAATGTTTAACTTTTGTGCCTACAAAAATTCTGTGTCAAAAGGATGATTATTCCTTTGACAACATCATTAATGTATACACTTTTGACTCCTTCAGCAATGTTTATTTACAAGTTTATAAAGATATGTGAACTAAGTACAATGTGGGATTTATTATTTACCATTTTATAAAGAAATAAATTTGAAAAATTTCTTTATTCAAAAAAATTTATTAAAAAAATTACAAAATTATCAAAATGTGTAAACCAACTAAAATGCAATATTTGTGGTAAAAATTAGACATATAATTATATAAAAGGAAAACTTTGTCCAACCTTAAAATATTGAGAGTTTGTGGTCTCATCTAAAATTGAAAGAGGTTTAGAGGAAAACACTTAATTTAGTGGATTTATGCAGTGAGAGCAAATGAAAGAAATGCCCAGAAAATGCTTCTTTTTTTTTTTTTTTTTTTTTTTTTTCTAAAGTTTATAATTATAGTTGTCTTTGTGTTTAGTTTAAATTTTCTTTGGGTGTTTTTATAGATTTGAGTAAAAAAATTTTTTTTCTTTTTATAAAATGGTAAATGAAAATATTTCGTTATACAGGGGTTACTTGGAGATCTGTTCCTACAGTGCAATGTCACCTGATTTTCAACTTAGTTCAGTACTCACCTACATAAGCACCCACAATTCTGCCTTACAATTAGGAGCCATAACGAATGGCGAAAAGTTTCCCTCAAAGAACAATACAAATGAGAGATAGCGAATGTAGCACAATCCAATATGGCACATAGCCGGTGAAGAAAGAACTCTGTCTTCATATAGCCCTGTGTGGTGATGTATTATATTATGAGAGATGGTGCCATAACCATGAAATGCCGTATGACTTAACCTGAGAACCTTCTGTAGTCTGCTCACATATTTTTATAATCTTGTAAATAAGTGATCTAATAAATAAAACAGTGCTTAATATCTTTTGATGTCAATTCTCAGGAATAAAGTGAATGTATAAATCCACTTTCATATGTTTGGGTATTATTAAAATTTTAATCATTGATTTTTTTTTTTTTTTTTTTTTTTTAACCATAAACATTGCTGAGGTGCCGAGCCTATACACTAATAGCAGTGTCAAGGGAATAATTTTCCTTCTGACCACCATTATTATTTTTTTTTTTTTTTTTTTTTTTTTTTTCAGGCATGAAGGCTAAACATTGCTTATAATTTTTATAACTGTCTCTTCCTGATAAGTTTCCTTTTTGTTTCTATTTTCTCTAAAACTTTGTTATTGCTCACATGTCACCAGCTTCCATCTATATAGGAAAAACAATATGCAAAGGATTAAGTGATACATTAAGTTTTCTATTTTAGATAAGAATATTTTTCTCTTGATAAAAATGCAAATTTGAATTCAATCCTGTTGATTCACATTATGCTTGTTTTTACATTTTAATCACTAAACTGTTGGAACCACATTTATTTGAAACCTTTCAATTTCTGGATGTTACTCATTTTTGTTGTATTTTTTTTATTATTTCTTTTCATTTTCTTTTTCTCTTGTCTAACCTTTTTCTCATTTCCATTTCACTCGTTTTGCTCAACCCTTACTTCTGCAACCTGGCTTCATTTTTAAAAGGAAAATATCATCTTAAGAACTAATACAGTGATCTTTTGTCTATATTTAACTCTTTGTCACAAAAGAACTTAAGCTTTTATGACCGTCACCTTTCTGTCAGTTTTAAATTTTTTTGCTTGCAGTTAGAAATAGATTTTCTGTAAGAGGCTATATTTGCAATTAATTCATTGTACTTTAGCACAAAGCTTTACAAAAATCCATATTTGACTCTATATAACTTAATTAGATGTCAGTGAATTATATTGTGTTCAGTTATGCATAAAAGTCAAATATTAATACCACTTTTAAAAAAACATTTGGTCTATTCAGGAATG